GAGTGAGTGTGTGTGAGTGTGTGTGTGTGTGTGTGAGTGAGAGTGAGTGAGTGTGTGTGTGTGAGTGTGTGTGTGTGTGTGTGTGTGTAACTCACCGAGTCTCCAGCGGCCCATGTAGTAGAGCTGTGTGCTCAGCAGCAGTGTAGCCAGTATGTGTATGACAGAGAAAACGATCCAGAACGCTGTGTTACCCTTACCAAACACCTGACACACACACACACACACACACACGTTTAGACTCGTCTCAGAAACATTCATGGTTTTTCTATCAGGTTAATGATAGTTTCAGTCTCCTAACCGACCGTTGACCCCTAAGCCAACCCTCATTAAAACCTGCATCACTAGACTGAAATATAAACATGATTTGGCTGATTTATGAGATTATACACTTGAATACAAAGGCGTGTGAGTGTGTGTGTGTGTGTTTCTCACCACTCCCAGCACAGAGAAGAATATGACAGCAGCCAGACAAGCGTAAGCGGAGTACGCACTGGCATTGATATCCGGGTGTCTCTTCTGATACAGCTTCAACATACACAGTCCAGCAATCATATACATGAACGACGTGTCTGAAACACACAAACACACATCCGATGAACAAGATCAGAGATTCCCAAACTTTACTATCAGCCAAACACCCCTTTGAGCTAAAATACTTACTGGAAGTCACACTGAGATTTTAAGTTAAAGTCAGCATGAAATGAAAATCCACCCTGTCTATTTTCTAAATGCATTAGGAACAAATACATCCACGCATGCTTATTTTTTTCCCAACCAACAACCGATACACAGAACAAAGTCCCGCTCTACATTTATTCTTTTTGAATAATGCATTACACTCAGATGTACGTCACAAAACACCTGCAGTTCCCTAAAAACCCCAGTTTGTGAAATCAGATGAATCACAGCAGCAGCGCAGAACCGGATCAACGCCTGAATAAATTGAGAATCACTATTTTTTTGTCTCAAATAGAGATCACAATTTTCCCACGATTCTGAACTAAACAAAATAATGTGACAAAATATTAATTGCTGCAGTCTATTTAAAAATGTTTAATTAATTTGAGTGAATTATTGAACGTTTTAATATAAATGTATTTAAAATATAATATATTTAATACTACAATTTTTAATATTAACATTTTGAAAAAGTGGTTTGAATGAATGATTCAATGACTCACTCATTAATGCTTCACTTGTTTCATTACTGGATGAATCATTGTTTTTGAACGAATCTCTCGAATGAATGATTCAATGACAAATAAATATTTTAACAGTGACTTGTCGCCACCTAGTGGAGAAACAATGCAATCGACACAAACGTTATTTGAAGCGCCAATTACTTTTGCTCGCTACCATAGACATGAGTGTTTATATCCCAACTATAAACTTTTATTCCAGTATTTCTGTGATCACATGAATGACTGTAAGACAGAAATAATACAGTGTTTGTGAAGCTGTTTCTTACCTAAACATGGTAACTATCCGCTCTCTGTCAGCAGAAGTGCAAACACAGATCTGAATGTTCCGATATGATTCTCTCAAACGTTTAATAGACACGAATCGTTGTCATTTAGAAATGAGATCGCGTGGATGTTTGAATCGAGATCGCGATCTTTTAATGATTAATCGTGCAGCTCCAGCCTGTGGTGCATGAGCTTCATCACACTCACCGAACTGGAAGTTGGTGTAGTTCGGACAGACGTGGTAGCAGGCGCTGAGTAGCCCCTCCATCATCAGAGCAGTGCCCATGGCGTAATACAGGCCGAAGTGCTTGGGAATGCCACACTCCTGAAGACAAACAGCTGATCAGAACATGTGTCTGAAGTGCTGCAGAGAGTCCGAGTGATATGAGGCTTGTGTTTGTGTTTCTCACCAGCGCTGTGTTCTCGTTGCGCTCGAGCGCGCGGTTGTGAAGGATGTCCCTCTGTAGGATGATGAGCAGGAACAGCAGCCCCAGCAGCACATAACTCAGGTTACTCAGGATGTTATTGAAGGAGCTGAAAACATCGCGACACTCACATTTACCTTGTCCTTGATGAGAACAGGCTTTATGCTGATAGACTGTTTATTATCCTCTGATTACTTACAAAATTCAATTCACGTTTATTTGTATAGTGCTTTTTACGATGCAAATCGTTGCAAAGCAGCTTCACAGAAAATTTAAGTTTCCACATTATATTTAGGAGTAGCTTATCAGTGGTGACTATGTCAGGGTGATGTCCATATGGAAGAAATGTGACCTTGGACCACAAAACCGGTCATAAGGGTCAATCTTCTGAAATTGAGATTTATGCATCATCTGAAAGCTGAATAAATAGCTTTCCATTGATGTATGGTTTGTTAGGATAGGACAATATTTGGCTGAGATACAACTATTTGAAAATCTGGAATCTGAGGGTGCAAAAAAATCTAAATATTGAGAAAATCATCTTTAAAGTTGTCCAAATGAAGTTCTTAGCAATGCATATTACTAATCAAAAATTAAGTTTTGATATATTTACGGTAGGACATTTACAAAATATCTTCATGGAACATGATCTTTACTTAATATCCTAATGATTTTTGGCATAAAAGAAAAATTGATAATTTTGACCCATACATATTGTTGGCTATTGCTACAAATATACCTGTGCTGCTTATGACTGCTTTTGTGCTGCAGGGACACATATGTACAGTAAAAATCATGTAGTTAATGACATGTATTCAAATAGACAGTGAACACTATCAACAGCTATGATTATATGTTGCGACCAAATTTATAGCAAAATTTGGTAGTTTTGTGTGAATGTCTGAAGAATGCACACACACCTTAGTGCTCCAAGAGGGTGTGCACACAGGAAGTTATAATAGCAGATGTCTTGGTTTCCTGTGACGTTTACAACCTGTCAGAAAATACAGGATAATAGTCATCATGGAGTCCAATCAAGACACGGCATGAGACACAAACAGAGATTTCATACCGTCTGATAGGTGATAACCAGCTGAATGACAGGAAGAGCGTAAAACACTGCGATCGTAGCGATGTTCCTGCAGTGAAAACACACACACAGCACAGTCACCGGAGGTATAAAACAAGCACACACTTCCTGTCCTGACCCGTGTGTTTGACACTCACCAGAAGTAGATCTGGTATTTCTTGCTGAGGATGCGTTTGTCTTTACGAGCGAGATCAGAGACGCACAGGAACTTCTGTGAAGGACAGAGATCACAGTAAATAAACACACACACACAGTTATAGTTGTGTGTTTTCGGTAGTTCGAGCACCTTCGTACGGACGATGTTTTTGTCCGAGTCGATGTCGGCCAGCGTGTCGTAATCGTCCTCTTCTACTGAACTCAGAGACTCGTGTCGACTGCGGCCGACACTCTCTAAGGAACGCTCTAGAACACGGAAAACACAACGCTGATCAGCAGATTTCAGATTTATATCACCATTATGGATGGATCACTGAATGAATTCCTGAAATAGACGCTGACATCATTCATTAGACTTTCCATGCAAAATCTTTCAGCAGATAGGGCACCTGATTTACTCCTTTGCATTTATGCATTTAATAGACAAATACAATTAGAGAAATTATCATTTCTAGGGCTGCCCCCTAATAGTCCACTAACCGTTAGTCGACCAGAAGAGGCTTGGTCAACCAAAATTTTATTAGTCGCAGAAAAAATAAATAAAACTCCACATTGGCGAAGTCACGCAGATCGTTAGCGGCTGGTCTATGTGGTAGTACAGTACATCGAGCAGGACATCCAAACGCTCGCCTATCATTCATTGACCTCAAATATGGCTTATCTTAAATATGTAAGTATTAGCAACTTTACATGGCCGCTCAATCTAATGTTAACCTAGAAAAATGCGCGCTGTTCAAGAGTCTGTGTGGAGTGTGGAAGCTGAACAGTAGCGAGTTCACTGCAGGACAGATGGAGGCGCCGGTGCGCTCACTTGCTCTTAAAATACGCCGTAATTTTTGGTCCTACTATCATTCATCGACCTCAAATATGGCTTATCATCTGAAATATGTTAGTAGCAGCAACTTTACATGGCTGCTCAATCTAATGTTAACCTAGTCTAACCTAACCAACAGGATGCACTTTCTGCCGTCTCGGTCTCCGTGAACTTGAGCGCGAAACTCTGTGTGAACCTGCCTTACAGACATGAAAAATATATCTAGAGAGCGTAACCCCTCCGAAATGTCTACTTTCAAATAAACCAATTCAAATGGAAAACAAATATTCTCAGATTATGTAATCCGTATGAAACATGAATACAGGTGCATCACTACTGCGGAGATGACGAGTGAGTGTCGCCGACTTCATCTCTTAAACAGAGAACGAAGAAAGCACTAGTTTAGCAATAAATTATTAAAATGTTAATGCAGACTCCTTACTGTTTTTCCTGACACATTCATAATCATTACTTCTGTGGTGCGCTGTGGCAAGCTTTATGTGTGTGCTTGAGTGCTTATTATATGTAGGCAATTAAAGGCTCATTATAATGATTTAAATGGTTTATTAATAAACATGCGATTAGTCGACTAATGCTTCAAACGAACGACTACTAGTCGACCAGACAAATCTTTAGTCAAGGGCAGCCCAAATCATTTCCAATGCTTTTCAGGACATCGGACCAATATTTGTGGGATCCTGATTTTGGATTGGGTGGGATTTCATATGGAGGTGCTGATTGGCTGATTTATAAAGTGGGCGTGTCACCAATGCGGATGGCTACATGATGTGCTGTGAGTATTCGCCGTTTAAAAGTCTCCGATCCTAAGTGGTAAAAACACACCAATCAGAAAGCAGAGCACATCAGACAGCCAAAGAGAGGGCAGTGAACTGGCAACATGAATATATTCTCTGTGTGTGTGTGTGTACCCATGTATCCGTAGTTCCCATCGGCCGATGCTAAACTGTCAGTAACAGCTTCAGAGCTCAATGTGCTGCCGTTATCAGCTAGAGAAACAGCAGACAGATTAAAACACATCTGACACAGTAAGACTCAATCTGAATGAAAACTTTCACAAACTTACCAAATGAACCGTATTCATACGGAGAGACTCTTCCTGAAACACACAGTGGGTTAGATAGATGCTCATGTGTGTGTGTTGGATGTAACTTCATCTAAATCTTCAGTACTGAATATCACACACAGTTCAGTTACTTACAGGAGTGACGCCACATTTACACGAAATCCACACAGAACTGACCTAAACAACTAGTATAATAGTCTTTAATATTTCAAACACTGCTGGCATTCATGTTTCTTTCTACAGAGATCACTCGATCATTTAGCAGAGTCACTCCTGTGTGTAAATGAGGCCGTCATGCCCAGAACTAAGATTAAAAGATGTTTCTATTCACTTCTAAACAGGAGTGTGTTAGTGCTGGGTTAGTTTACAGCAGTGATGTCACAACTACAGATGTGCACAGGAAGTTTCCGTAAAGAGAGTTTGTGAGCAAATGAAAGCAGGAAGTGTCGTATCTTGCACACACACACACACACACACACACACACACACACAATGCCCAGAACTAAGATTAAAAGATGTTTCTATTCACTTCTAAACAGGAGTGTGTTAGTGCTGGGTTAGTTTACAGCAGTGATGTCACAACTACAGATGTGCACAGGAAGTTTCCGTAAAGAGAGTTTGTGAGCAAATGAAAGCAGGAAGTGTCGTATCTTGCACACACACACACACACACACACACACACACACACACACACTGTGAGAGACAGCATGCAAATATATCACACACATATCTTACCCAAGAGAGACGCTAAACACACAAAGATGCCGAAAATAAAATAAAAGAATAAACACTTTAATAATAATGTCACTCATTACATTAAAGACATTAATAATTCTGCGATCCGGATTAATTAATAGATTACAGCTAACACTTCTACAGGTGTGTGTTCGGTTACCTGTCTCAGCAGGTGAGGTGTCGGCGTTCAGAAGCCCCTCCCTCTTCCTGTTCATCCTGAGAAAGACAGAATGTGATTGGCTGTCATTTAATCACGTCATCATGAAAACCACTGATTACTGGATTTATTCAGTGTCGCTGGCATCATGTTTCAGGTTCAGAGCAGCATCTGTGTCATAATCATTTCAAACACAGCGTCGTACCTCTTATTCTCCACACACGCCATGAGAAACGTGAGCAGATAGAAGGACAGGAAGATCCCCAGGCAGAAGAGCATCCCCATCACATACACCTCCGCTAGAGAGCAGACAGAATGAGCCAATGAACTGATGGATGCTTGAATGAAGGACTGAGTGAATGTGTAGTGCTGCTCACAGTTAATGGCAGGAGAAACAATCACATCCAGAGTTTTACTGCGATTCCCAGCATCTAGCAGCTCATCTGAGGAAACACACACAATCACATCAAACATGGATTCTGATTGGCTGCAGTACAGTAACACTGTGCTCTGATTGGCTGCAGTAGAGTAACACTGTGCTCTGATTGGCTACAGTAAAGTAACACTGTTCTGATTGGCTGCAGTAGAGTAACACTGTGCTCTGATTGGCTACAGTAAAGTAACACTGTTCTGATTGGCTGCAGTAGAGTAACACTGTGTTCTGATTGGCTGCAGTACAGTAACACTGTGCTCTGATTGGCTGCAGTAGAGTAACACTGTGTTCTGATTGGCTGCAGTACAGTAACACTGTGCTCTGATTGGCTGCAGTAGAGTAACACTGTGTTCTGATTGGCTGCAGTACAGTAACACTGTGCTCTGATTGGCTGCAGTACAGTAACACTGTGCTCTGATTGGCTGCACTAACCAGGTAAGAGCGGGTAGAAACGCAGCGGTCCTCCGCACGCCTCGTCTTCAGTCTTCACCACCACCACCACATAGAAACTGTTACTGGGGAAATCCTTCCTCTGAAACACACGGAACACACATCCTCACACAATAATAATAATAACAGCAGTGCACTGATTCTGTGTGCTGGTGCGCCTGTCCCCGTCAATCAAACAGATACATAAACATATTTCAACCATGTTTAATTAAAAATGCAAATAGACACTGAATGCGAGATAAAAGCCACTGCAAACATTTTAGTCAAAAAGCGGCAAACATTTTAGTCACATGACCTCAATGCCTGACTACAATATTACATACATGAAAAACAGTTTCAGTGATGGTTAGGTGACATAAAATGTCATTAGCTTCGTTTAAAAACATTTACATCAGTGGAAAGCTCTTGTGATGAGCAGTGTGTGTGTGTGTGTGTGTGTTACCTGCACTGTGATGGCGGCTGTGGTGGTCATGGTCTGATACATTCCAATAAACGCCACATTATTATCCAGATCATAAACCGGACACTGGACAGACCGAGAGAGACAGACAGATATCACCGTATGCACATCTGACTGACTCTGACATACGTGTGTGTGTGTGTGTGTGTGTGTTTCTCACCTGGATGTCCTGTATTGACATGACTGAGCAGGGGAAGTTCTTCTGTGAGTTCACCTTCACAATCACTGTGTCCACACCTTCCGGAAACACATACCTAAAGAACTGCGCACACACACACACTCAAAGTCATTACACTGACTCCATCACTGCAGGAGTCTGTGTATAAATCTATATTTTGGGGGCAAGAAGTGAGCTAAACCTGACAAAACCAACTTTTGGAGATGCCCTCATTTGTAAAACAAAAAAACAAACAATATAAAAATAAAGTAAATGAAGTGTTTTAAAATGGAAAAAACGCAGAATGTTTTCTTTTAGGTTTTGTGTAATGGTAAGTGTTCAGTGTTTATAATTAGCTATGATATAGTTAATTATTATGATATTATAATTATCATTATAGCTATAGCTATGATAATTAGCGGTGTCACATGTGCTGAAACAAACTGTTGTCTAAGCTGTTTCTTGGCAATGCTGGTGCTTTTGAAATGAATCCGAGTGGTTGATATTATGATAATGTTCTGAGGGTGACAGCGACCCCTGCTGGTCAAAATCTGCCCTGAAACCATAGTTCAGCTGTGCTGTGATTACCTCAAGTTCAAACCAATAGTTCACACAAAAAATTATCATCCTGTCATCAACCTTTCTTTCTTCAGTGGGACACAACATTTAGAAGAATATCGCTGTGTTTTCTGGCAATACAGTGGAAGTTTTCCTTTTTTTCCAATTAAAAAAAAAATTCTCTCAAATTTGGGTGAACTGTGCCTGTAAGTAGTTTGTATCTGCGGCTGCTGTGTCTGGCCCTGCATTCACATTTATCATGATTCTTCTGTCATTATAGTAAACTACACACATCTCAATGATTCCATGAACACGCCTCCAGCTTCACTTCAGCTGTATCTGTTATTTAGATCCTTCAGAAGCAAGATGTCACACACACACACACACACTCTCTCTCACACAC